ATGACAAACACACAACACTAACAAACTCAATTAAAGAGGATCCCAAGGGTGGTGATGGTGTTCGTTTAGGGTTTGGAATTGTTAGTAGATGATTGGGATGGTTGGGTGGTGGTTAGATGGTGGAGGTTGTAATAGAAAAAGGGATTTTGGGTGGCTGTTCTGAGGGTGGCAGGAAGTGTGGGATAACTGGACAATGATATAACAAGGGGAAGGGCTTGTGGGGTTACGATGATGATACTGGATGGCGGGGCAGGGGTAGAACAACAAAAGGAAGGGTTGACGAGCTGCAACAAAGAATGTGGGGGTATGGAACATCAAAAGCAACGAAGTAGGTGATTGGGACAACGAGGGGCAACGAAGAGGAAGGACGGTGGACTGCGGGACATTAGAGGGAAGGGCTGTTCGAGAGGCTGCGACAATAAGGGGGATGGCTGGAAAGGGGTTACAGAAGAGTTGAATGTGATAAATATACCCGTGGGATTGAGCTACATCCTGCGCACCACTCGAACACTTGGAGGTCACTACCTCGGGCGAGATACAGTCGAAGCACCACTTGTCGTCGGATATAACTTAAAAGGGAAAACATCCCCTACGACTGGCTTGGACAAAAATCTGAAATCTGAAAGAAAAAACTGAACCTTAAGACAACACGCATCATATTTATAATAAGTACTAGCAATTAGAATAGGAAGGAATCAAATTATGAAGAAAATAAATTTAGGAAGGGAATAGAAAATGCAACATAAAATAGGGTCCGCAGTACTGTATCAGCTACAACACTGCAGCCCAAGTTCCCATGTCACTGTGTGGTCATTACTAATATGGATTTAACATCAGACCAGATATTATAGAATTGTATTACATCTGCATACTAAATTTATCCCCTCATTGTCTTTCCTTTTTCTTTCTTATCTTTCTTGCTTCCCTAAACCTTTCCTAAGAACCAAAATCTGATTTTGTTTTCCTTCTAATTTTAAAACCCTTGCACTAAATATGAAACTTGATTTTTTTTCCTTATTTTAAAATTATTGCCTAAATTCTGAAATCTGATATTAATTCTTTCCTATTTTATTTTTTGCTAAAATTGAGTAAGGTCTTTTATAAATAGGAGTTCTTGTGTCTAGAGTAATGGTCTTGTTTTTGAAATCTGATTTCAGTTTATCTTAATATTTTCCCTCTCGAAGTGCTGTATCTGACGATGAGGAAGGTTCTTTGGCTGTAACCTCGTCCAAGGTGGTGTCTATCTTCACTTTTCCGACCACTACCTGCTGTCTTGCTGTCCATCGACGTTCCAACCACCCTTCAGCACTGCCGGTCACCTCTCTGCCATCCAAACAGCCGACCAATTCGCCCGCAGCTTCATTGTCGGTTGTTCTCAGCCCTCCTACTACCCTTCCAGACATCACTGTTGCAGCTATCTGCTATTCTCAGCCTTCCTACTGAACTTCCAGATGCCACTGCTGCAGCCTCCTGCTGTTCGCAACCCTCTTGCTGCCTTCCAGATGCCACTGCTGCAGCCTCCTGCTATTTGTAGCCTGACGCCTCCACTGCAGCCACATTTGTTCGTAGCCCCCTGCTGCCCTTCCAGCACCCTCGCCAGAGACTTCTCTGCCCCTCCTGTCTCACTCACAGCAGGCTGCAGCCTCCGTCAGGTCGTCCCCGCGCCTCCAACCGCTGCCTCCCTCCTTCCTGCAGCTCTCGCCCTTCCTCTGCCTCCACTCCTTGGCTTCGGCCGCCATCCTTGCTGTCTCTGGAGTCCACCCTTTGATGACACTTTCCGCTTCCTCCGACTGCGGTTTGACTCCTCAACAAGCGCTTACTTGCTTCCCCACTTTCGCCCGACATCGCTTTTGCCTTCATCGCGGCCCCCGCTCTAGCACTACCTCTCCAGACTCCTTCCTCGTCGGGATTATTGTGTTTTTATTTGTTGAGTCTTTGTTTGTAATGTTTTATTTTATGTTTTGATTTATTTGGTGTTTTCTTTTTTGTTTGGAGTCATCATTGTAACCTTTCTTTTAAGTTACTAAAAAAATTGTGTATTGCATATTGGTTTGGGTTAACTCCGATATGATTGTAGTTATTTGAGCCAGTCGAGGTGACAGGGAATGCTTTCAATATTTTGTGATATTTTTGAATATAAATGAAATGAAATAAAGAAATCATGGAAAATTTGGAATAGTATAAAAGTGTAAATATTCATTAATTCTTTTCAGATTATTTTTAACTCTTTCAATTGTTTATGCTCATATTGTGTTGTGTGGCTCCTATTTTTATCTAAAAATATGTGAATGGCTTTTTAAATTTGATGGGGAGTCATAACGACGTTACAAACATCTAGAAAATGTAAACCCTACCTTTTGGCTCGATCTTGAACTTATAAGGGTAGAGTCAATAGGGCCCGTTTCTCAATAATTATTCATATGCAAAAACAACTATTGTAAATCTCATAGTCCTCAGTCTAGTAACACAATCCTTTTTTTATAATGGGTTGGGAAGCATCAATTCAACCACAACTTTTGTCAAAATTTTTGATAGTATGTCTGTATATGTACTTTATGCCATGTAGATCTTTTATCATGAAAAAATATTCAAGAAGAAAACTTAATGGGCACTTCGTTGCTAATGAGATAGGGTTGTAAGTCTAAATATTTAGACTCTATTTATATGAAGGCTAAAGCAATTGTGCAAGTTGGATGTTCTTCTTATAATTTAGGATCTTGAGTCGCAATCTACCAATCTAATCCTCTTCAAAGAAAATAAAAAAGAGGACAGAATTGACATATCTTGCAACTCATGAACATTTGCCAAATTGAAAGTAAAGTTTCTTGTCCCTAACTGGACCTCTCTTTCATTGGGAACTGGGCATTGACAATTTAATTTTCGGCGATTTTAAAATATTTTGCAATGCTTGCACAAGGCCTTCAAGTTTTGTTATGTTGAAAATTCATTTAGAGAAACACTTCATGCTGCCCCACCTATACGGTAGGATCATAAGTCCCAATCATTGGCCTTCCTTTACTCCTAAAGATGTGAGCTCGAGCCCTCAATGTAATGTTTGTTATACTATAGTATTTGGGAAATTTATTTCACATGCTATAGATACTTAAATTTGCTTGGGCCGAAAACACTGAGTAGATGCTTATTTTCACTTGGGTCTAATTTTTCACAAACAGTTAGTAGAGTTGACATGGCTTGTGACTTTTGAACAACTGCCAAAATTAAATTAAAGCTTTTTTGTTTCATCAAACTTGTCTTTTTCATCGTGATTTGGTGACTGGCTAATGATAAGCGTTGTTAGAATATTTGGCAATGAATTTGCCTCAAATCTACAAGGTTTGTTGCAATGAAGTTCAATTTAAGAAGTAATCGTTTGTGTTTGCCTTGCCTATAATGCATGGTTGGAAGTTCAAAGTACCTGCTGTAAAGTTTTAGGATGCGAGCCTCCACAACCCTAATATAATGCATGCTAAAATCTAACATTGGGAAAGTTGAATTCAAGTACTGTATATGCATATACTTGCTTTGGCTTGATCTTCTGTAAGCACATATAGAGACTAGATATTATCTTATAGCACAATCATTTTTACATTAAAATTAAATTAAGTGTGAGATCACTGGGCTTTTCTCAAACTCTCAAGTTCTAAATCTCAATTTTGACCGTGATTCTTTGAAAATGAATAACTGAGTTGATAAGATTCTTGTCATGACAATCTCCTTGTGTTTCGTCAGAATATCATATTGAGAGGAGTTCTTTGTTGAATTCAATCTTTTGTTCATTAAGATAAATGCTTCTGGTAATTTTTTCTCGGTGATGGGTGCAATTATTGAGATATTATATTAGAAGAGGATCTTCTCATAAAAATGCTTGATTAAATTATAAGACAAATGTAATATAAGCTTTCCTTTAAATATAAGCTTTCTCTATCATATTAACTCCTCTACTATAAATGGAGTTTTTTAATATACAAGAGGTTACTTTTTCCTTTTTAACTTTTCATTTAAATTTAATTTGAAATGTAATAAGGATAATGATGCCTCGTCTTTCATTACTGTTTAATTTTTTTTATAAATTGAACTTTGAATGCATGGCCTTTTATGATTCACTGGATTATTAAAATTATGGAGAATTCATACAACTTTTTTTATTTTAAATTCATATTTTCCTGCTTTGAGGATTTGGCATCAACAAGTTGAAGATTAGCTACTTTGCTTTTTTCATTTCATCATTTTATTTTCTATTATTTCCAATTATTCCACTCTGTACTACGACTAACGAAGCCTTGTTCTTTTCAAATATAAAATCAGAATTGAAGTGTTAAAAGACAAGAAAGTTTATGCCTATTTATAAAGGCCAGGAGTCTGATCTTTGAGGTTTTTAATAGCTATTGGGTTTCGGATGTTTTTACTATTTTGCCAAATGAGTTCTACTCTCAAATTCAGAGAAGATGAACGGATGCAAAGCTAAGCCTCTGAAAACATTCGATCTTTAGTGGTTCTTTTGATTAGGGTTTTATGCAAGTTTTATTTTTTCATATTCCTAGAGATTATAAATGGGCCGCTCATTTTTGTGTTAAGCACACCCTTAGTAGTTCTTTTGTTTTGTCGCATATAGATGATGACAGAGAACTCTCTACCATACTCTTAGATGACATGTCTTTTTTTGTGCATCATAGATGTGTGCTTGCATGGTTTTTTTTTTTTTTTTTTTTGATATATTAATGCAAATGGACATTTGCATGAAAACATGCGATCTGCATGATATTATGTGCTAGACAATTATTTACCTTAACAAATGTATCTGAAACAAAGTTTTTGAATCAAGTGTACCATATCTCTTCTCTTTGGTTCTTTTCCTTGTTCATGCCTTTAGCAAATGTGTTTAGAAGAGTTCTCGTGTTATGGAAACAATTGTTTTTGTAATTTATATTTGATTTTTGGTCTTGCCCAACTTCATTTGCTCAAACTTTTTTAAGGCTTGTTTATATGCTATCTTATTGTAGATAGTGGAAGTAGTGTGTTGCAAGCTCACCCCCTTGCAGATTCAGCTATACAGACATTTCATTCAATCAAAAAATGTAAGACTTGACTTATATCCAGCTTGTATATGCTATACTATTCTATTGCTATAAGATAGTTTCTGAAATATTTGTTCATATCTATAGATTAAGCATGTAATTGCAGAGGAGTTGAAGCATTCCACAATTTTGTCCTATATTACAGCACTTAAAAAACTTTGCAATCACCCTAAGGTATTCTTTCTAAGATTTTTTATATGTTTGATTGGTTTTTTATTTTATTTCTTTTTCCTGTGAACTTAAATTGAATTTATCATGATGCACGCCGTCCCAAATGCAAATATGGAACATCACATCGGGCAGAAATTTAAAAAATAGTTTTAATAGGTTTGTGGAATCACCACATACTTTTCTTAACTTATAAAAAAAAATTATTGGATTGAAGGAGCCTAATTTTGACCTACATATGATTCGAGCTTTCTCCAAAACTTGCATGCGGAAATTCTGTTCATCACTTGCGACATCCTAGTACTACTTTTTGGGCTATAATGCTTGTATGCTATCTTAGTTTTGGCATATGATCATGTCAATCCGGTTATTACAATCTAATGTTTTTCATCTTAAATTTGTATATCTTGTTATTTTATTGGCTAACTGGATCAATTGCCACACATTTAATGACAAAGTCATTAGCCATCAACTCATTTTCTCGAAAACTCATTCACATCATTTATTTACATAACCTATCCTAGCTATCTGTATATTTGTATGGTTCCCTCTGTGGGCAATCATTGCCCTCTCCAAAAATTGGCACAACACCCATGCACAAACTTTCATTAACACAAAGTTTTGTGATGGGAATTTCAAACAAATTCATATCATGCTTAAGCATTATTTTTGAATAACAAAAAAATATGGTCGCCTTACTAATAGTGGGCAATATATTAATTTTGGGTTGACTATGTATCAATTACAGCACAATAATGATTGAAAACACCGAAGTTATATAACAACACTTCTAAACAATCTCTGTTATTACAGTGCAATAGTACCTTGTGAAAACTTATTATGGCACACTCCGACAACACTTGACATGATGAAGAAACATAAAGCCTAGTTTGTACTCATATGAGAAAGTTTCTTAGGCAAGCAATATAAATAGGCGTAAGCAAGAAAAAACAAACACTATTACATTCCATAACAAGTAGTGAGATTAATTTCAAAGAAGATTTAAAAAAAAAAGAAACTTGGACAACAATTAATTTGCAAAGTGCCTAAACCCAAAATAAACACATACATTTTTTTTTACATAAATTTAAAAATACAAAAACAGAATTACTGCTAAAAAACTTGCTCAATCAGTGAACTTCCCCTCATAGTTATAATTAAACTTGCTATAAGAAAAAAAAAAGTTTCAACGAGCAAGTTTAAAAAATCAAACCTAGCTAATAATCATTATCTATTCAAGCATAAATAGCTAGATGTTTGGGGTATGCAAAATGAATAATGAAAGACATGATTTACTACATATACTTTTGAGAATAAATTTTATCAAATTTTTTGTGAGATTTTAATTTATTGTAGTGCCTTAATGTAACATGTTACATGCTTTGAAGTGGTTTTTGGTATGGCGATAATTGTGATTGATTATTTGATGAATTATATAATTCATGGCGTGTTATTTTATCCCTCATTGTAAACGTATCAACTTAAATCATATATATTTAAATATGACTCAATAATCATGTATTGTTCAATTAAATTTTAATTTATATATCTTTAGTCAGTTTTACCATGTGGGCTCCAAAAATTTCGGCGTCTCCCCGGGCTCTGTTATTTTTGTTTTGTGTAGAGAGAGTATTGAGGGTCAATTTTCAAAAAACAGATTAGATTGTAAATAAGACACTACCCATAGATTTCACCCTCATTTTGTGAGGATTTTTGTATATGGAGTTCAACGTTTCTCGTAGGCATAGACTGGTTAATTGCCTCTCCTAATAACATGAGAGCACTTTTGATTAAGGTTTGTCATTTAAAATCGAATAATACGTTATAAAGTTTTCTTAATATGCCATGTTTTTGTTGTCCTAGGCCATCATGGTTCTTGATATGCCTAGTCAAAGGAGGTAGCCAACCCAAGTTGACTAAAGAATCATTGTTAGCAATCATGAGTTGTGTCGTCTAAAGGTTTCTTGTAGATTTGTGGTGGATATTTGTCTAAGGGGATAAATTTAAGTTGACTTTAGCTGATAGAAGAGTTTGTGTCAATCAACCGTACATTTATGGTTCTATACTAAAAGAGTAGAAAACCATTGAGAAATATATAACGCTGCGACCGTGACCGTAATATATTAGTGCAATTTGATTGCAACTACTCATGAAGAGGACTGGTTGTAACTGCTACTTTGTGGTGTCATTTGATGATAAAGTCACACAGATAGAGAACTCGGGTTGCGTCCCTACTGATATGCAATTGTTGTGATTATGAACGTAAGAGTACATTTTATATGAAATACACACTTTATGAGTTGGCCAAACAAAAGCCTATCACCATCGACAAAACATTGCTGATGGTGGATATATTTCTTATTTTAGCTTTTAATTGATTTGATTTTACTTGAATATTTAATTGAAACTTGTACTTAATGTTGGTTTAAAATTAACCACTTTGATTGATATTTTTAGTCAACACGACTATTATCGGGGTTTTAAACATTTAAAACTTTTATATTTGAATGACATTTGGGTTTTTAATTTAGGCTTTTTAGGATATGATCTTGTCGGCTCTTGTCTTATAAGGAGGAGGATCAACCTATGTAATTTGGACTTGCAAGTTTTTATTTTTATGATTTAAGCATTTATTATTAGATTTATTAGACTCGTCAACTTTATTCTTTGCGAGAAAGTGGATGAGACTAGTTGGGTGAGACTTGCAATTCTGTTCTCTAGACAGTGAGGCCCGATTGGTTGATTACATAACTTAATTATCTTTAGTTTGAGTTCACCATAAAAATTTTATAATTTTTAAATAGGTGTAGACACTTTGAAAAGAAATTTGTACTTTTTTTAAAATAGGAGCTACTTGGTTGAAAAAAAATTATTTTAACCTGCGCAATATTCTCATACCATTCAATTTTAAATACTTAGTTTGTTTTGGAGGAGCACATATGGGTGTATTTTATTAATGTGCTTACATCTTGATGCCTTTGCCTAATGTGATTACATGAATTTTGGCACACTTCTTATAGGATGTGATTACATGTGATTACATGTTTTTTTTTTTTTTTCCTGTAACATATAATTTGGTGTTTTGACACGGATACAAGAATTATCAAGCATTTGCTAGTTTTTTGCGATACTGCATTGAAGTTGAAAAATATGTTAAAATGATACTGTCTAAAAAATCATCCTTTTTTATTAGTTACACAAATATCTTTATGATATAGATGCATGTACATAGTTTGAATGTAAAATTGTTAATTGGAATTTTTAAAACATTTATTTATATTCTTTTACACAAATCTTTAAATATCCACATTTAAATCATTACACTATCTTAAGATTTATCATGAAATTATCCAAGCCTTTTTAAATTTCATGTGGATATTAGAGCTTTTGGAATACATGCAAAACCTCATTATTTAGCTCTTTAAGGTTCACATTCTATTCCCTAGCAAATTATATTGTAAATCCGGCATAGGACCTCCTTAACCTAAACCAGGAGCAGAAGTCAGAGGTCCCTTGACAATAGAAGGGAGAGAAAAGTAGAAGGGAGAGAGAGAGAGAGAGTCCCGACCAGCCGAAAAAAGTCTTCTCTCCAATCCTCCTCCCTTTTATGCATGAGGCATTCTTACACAATTTTAATGTTAATGAGATTTACTGCCATTGAAGTTGTTATATTGTTTAGGATGAACGGTACAAACGCCATCCCTATTACCACCAAGGGATTTGAATAATAGAAACTTGATGACACCTTTAATGGACGCTGTCAGAGTAAGTACGACCCTTGTGTTGACCTCATTTTTGGCGAGGTATAGTCTTCCTCTTAGGGTTTAGGATCTAGCCTTAGGGATCTCTCTTCGACTATCTTAGAACCATAGAAATGAGACCCGCCTCGTTTTAGAAATCCAACCCACTTCTGTATCCTTTTGGAGTTTCGCGTGCATGGTATCGACTTCTAGCACTTAGAAGGGTGAAACCAACATGAGGAAACCCAAAAGAGATTCCTATAGGACCTTTTGAGCCTTAGGGTGACATTCTGCACAATTCGCTCTCCCGCGCGCGCAAATCTTTGCAATTCGGAGAGTCGACGCGCCGATTGCTACAATCCACATCGCCTGCACCGTTACCTGTCGAAAACTCTATTGGAACCAAAAAGTTTCTTCATGGAGGTAGTAGATTTGTTCTTCATTGAGAAGTCATGGTGTGGAGTGGAAGTCTGAGTGGAACATCATTTGTTCCTCATGATTAAGGTTTTACAACTCCTCCTTCGGTGCTTGGTAGTTCATTAGTGTCTAAGTTGCGACCGAGTTTTATTTGGTGAATAATATATATTTATATATATATATATGTATATATATATATATTAATTTATATAAAACCAAATCCTTCCTTTCTTCTTTAAGCCCTAAATCCCTAAACTCACGCACCCGAGCTCTGCCTCCCTTCCCTCTCCCGTTCGCGTGCCTAGCCTTTCCCTTTCTCTGTCTCGAGCCGACCAAGCTCCTCCTCCACGCGAGAGAAAGTTGAACTCGTTCGTCCTTGCCTGACATTTTTCTGCCCGCGGCCCTCCTTCCCGAAGCCGTGTCAGTCTCCCCGAGTTGTGTTTTTCCTTTTCTTGGTAGTTTAACTCTGGGAAGCTTGTTCCCTGGTACACTTGGATGACAAAATCTCTTCTTCCTGATGCTTCCCTCGCTGCCACAGGCTCGCCGCTCGGGCATCCAAAAATATATGTATGTGCATTATCTCTAACATT